TTGAGAGAGGTTGATATAGACTTTTCTGGTACAAAAAATCTTCAATATGCATCTTCCAAAAGCCAAAGTCCGCACCATCGAACTTCTCAATTTTCACCTTCCCTTCGTCTGCATCCATCGCTCTCACTCGAATCTGGCTTCTTTTGGATCATTTCTGACAATTCTTGTGAACCACCGTATATTAGAACACCTTCTTCGACAAACTCGTATCGCCGACCAAATTTTACTATTCATAAAATTTACTATTCATATAAATAGTAACCTCACAGAAAAAATCTACAAAATTAACCAACAAAAGCTCTTGATACCAGTTGTTGAAAATTAAACGAGTATTTTTCCTATAACCATTTTCAACAAAAATTGGGCACCAAATTCGATGCCTACCTTTGAATTTTCAACTCATTGTGCGATGCCAAACTTTGATTTGCATTGCTTGACTTTCAACTTCAACAATTGTTTCTATTGTTATCATCTGATGTCGAGACCTCTGTATTAATCCATCTTCATCGCCTTCTGTTATGGTCGTCATGTTTGGTGCTGTCATTACTAACGCAGAATATAAATGTAGGGAATCCATGAATGATTTGGTTCGACTCATGTGAGCTTGTCTTTTTCATGGTTCATCTCTAAGAATCATCTCCCTTAAAACCCCAAAAGCCAAGTTTGTCTTCAACTAGTCCATGTTTTGCCCACAAAGTAATTTACTGCTACTTAGCATAAGATTTTTGTCTTGTCTTTTACACTTTCATGTTATTGGTTTCGGTTATAAGCCGAGCTAGTCGAGGAAGAAAAATGAGTAATATTGTTGATTTGAATCAAAGTTAAGGTTTTGAGAGAGAATGTTTTTTCGAAGAAGAAGAAATATCTAAGTTGCAAAAGTTAGATATGCCCGGTGATGCCTGCCAGTATAGAGGAGTCAAAGGGCAGTCTTACGTGGCAGCACAGTGGCCAGGTCAGCCGATTAACGGGTAAGTTAAACTTTCGGTCACTCTAGTAATGGTGTCAATGGCTAAGAGACCAATTCGTTATAAATAGATAACATTAGTAACTAATTCATTAGTTTTGAAATTTCAATAGAAAAAAATTAGTGAAAACAAAAATTTACTTAAATGTTGGTGACCATTTATGTAGTTTACCCTTTTTATTATTTCTAAAATTTATTTATTTTTTAAAAGAAAAATATATATAATTTGGACCTTAGCATCTGTATAGGAGATTTATCTCATTATTTTTTTTAAATAAATTATATCACAATTTTAAGAACTATATCGGTTATATTATGCTCTACGCAATTGTCATCACCGCTCTGGTAATATTACCAATAACAACCGAAAAGTGACAGGATACATTGGAATATTATTTGATGAAGTTGTGACAATTATGACAAGAAAGACGGCTTAATCTAGTTTATGATTCAAAACACAACACATACCCCGTGGTTCCATTGGATCATTTTTCAAAGCTTAGATTGAGCCTTTGGATGATGAACGACAATGTGATTATACGCATCAAAAAATCTTCCAATGTCGAAGCTGTGCATTGGCGAATGAAAATCTTGCAAGCTTCTTTGTACATCCCCTTCTTGAACTTCTCTTTCCCCACCTCTCGTTCGATCCGCCCCGTCTCTTCGTCAACCACTCGCCCGAAGAGCTCGCGGTTCACTCGAACCCCTAGTCCGTCACCGTCCAATTCGACACCATATTTCAGCCACTGCCAGTTTTGAACCCTGCTGATCTCGGCTGTTGCAGCATCTTCCATGAGGTTGTAAAGAGGGACCGAACCTGCACCGGTTAACCAAGCTGCCAAGTATTGGATCCCGACGTGAGTATTCAAACGAAGACCTTCCATCGTACGAACCCCTCGAGGCCTTTGCAATAAGTCGTCTTCCGTTATGTTGCTCGCATCTTCTCGTTTGACTGTTTCGATCTGGTTAGGAGAATTACCCATGTTGTTGGTGAAGACTTCCATGCATGCTTGGATGAGTCCCGGATGAGCCGCCCATGTTCCATCATGCCCTGCCTTCACTTCTCTTAGTTTATCTTTTCTTACAAGATCAAAGGCTGCCTCATTAGCTGTTGGATCATCTCTGATTGGAATCTGAGCCGCCTGTTTAGGACAACTGGACATTCATTAACACATAAACGACACAAAATCGAACAACTCTGGCCGACTCGACTCATGAACACTTATATGCATGATATGCGTTGAAATGTTATAGTTATGTTCGTATATACCATTCCACCCATGGCATGGACACCGCGTTGATGGCATGTTCGGATGAGGAGATCGGAGTAACTCTTCATGAAGTGTTGGGTCATGCCGGCTTGAACGCGGTCCGACAACAATCGGGTTCACCAAGAAAATTGGATGCTGCGGTATTCTTGAAGCTGAGCTATGGGGGATTCTAATAGGTTTGCAGATGGCTTGGAGGCTAGGGCTTAGAATGATACAGGTGGAAACTGATAATAAGTATGCGGTTAAACTAATCCAGGGAGATCCCCTAATGGGAAGGCGCTTACCATTCTACAACATATAGACGCAGTGTTAGCTCGGGATTGGATGCACATATCTCGGAACAGTAATAGAGTGGCGGATACCTTAGCGGAGTATGCTGGAAGCTTCCTAGTGGCCTGCATGAATTCATACAACCCCCCGAGGAAGTTGAGGAATGGTGATCCTAAACTAGGCTAAACGCCTTACCCTTGTTGGTAAAAAAAAAACCGGTTTTATTATTGATCGAACCGAATAAAAATTAATTATATTAAACTTTTTCTTTAAAATTATTAACATTTAATCAAATTAAAATATATATGCAAATACTTAACCAAATCAAATTAATTTTAATTAATGTAATAGATTTCTAAATTAATCAAAACAATTAATATTTTTCTCATTCTGATTAAAATAACAAAATCAAAACGTTTCTTGAAATTTATCCATTTACATTTCTATCACCTGCAATATGAAAAATTAAGAAATAGATGGAAAATTAGAAGATTTATGAAATAAAAAAAGGTCACAAAAATACTTACATCTATCAATCTAGAATCAAATTAACTAATAATTTAATCAGTTTATAATCAAATTAACTAATAAGTGTATCAGTTTAGAATTAAATTAAATAATAATTAAATTTCTAAAAAAAATTAATTAATCCTTAGTCGAAATTAATCCGATCATCGATCGATTACTCGAACAGCTCAATTTAAACGTTAATTTGGTTAAAATTAAGATATGCACACCCCTAAATTTTATAATTATCTTAGCTTGAAGTTGTAATTTCTTACACTGACATCTATTTTTTACTCATTTTAGTATTTAAAATATTATTTTATCATATTTTACCCCGATAAACTGAGACAAAAATAAAGAAATTGGTGTAGTGCAAAGGCTAAAACGAATATTGAATCTTATTATCATACTCATATAAACTCTTAAAATTTTCTTTAATAAAACTTGTACATTTTAATTTGTAGTCAAAAAATTTATTAATTTTTTACTTGAGTCTAGATATATTGTTAATCTAATTAAACCAACTCTTAACATAAATCAATATATTTCTAAAAACAGGACCTAAATGGAGTAAAAGTAAATAGTAGGGACTGATCTGAATACAATAAAAATATAGAGATTTATTTCTTAAAATATAAATTAGTTGAAGGATTATTTTTACTGTTTCCTCATCGGCTTTAACGAGGAAATGATTGCCTCGATTCTTGTTTGTGACTGTAGCAAAAGCACAGTTTACGGAGTCAAAATTGTTTTTTTTTTATTTGCAACAAATTTTGAATTTTGTCATTACAATGACCAAATAAAAAATAAATTTAAAAGTAAAATCTACTAAAATATATTAAAAATGAAATTTATTTCTTTATATGTATATAAAAAGAAAGCTATATTAAAAGTTGGCCTAAAACATTACTATCCTCGTGAAGAAACAATAAGAAAGTTGGCCTAAAACATCACTATCCTCATGAAGAAACAATAAGACTTGGTCCGGAAGTTCATAAAATGTTTGATTGTTCTCGACTTCAATTTTTTGCAATCTTAGGTATATTAATATTCGACTAAATAATTATCTTAATCCCTATTATTTTTGAAACATTTTATCTTTCAAATCTTTCATTTATGGGAAAAATAACTCCATAGATGAAGATCATTAACCAGAAAACGATCAACATTCTACGATAAAGATATTTTTACTCTAAAATAAAATACTAAGAACTAGTGACTAATTATCAACAATAATGAGACTCTTTATCCTAAGATAAAACGTAACCAGATGAATAGCTTGCCGAATTATCATAATACGTGGCCAGATGGACCAGAGATTTATCGATTTCAGATTGCTGAGAGAATGTGAGCCTGACACTAAAGCCCTGGTCACTAAAATAATCTTTTTTATCATTGAAGTTTCAAAAATTACAAAACGATCATTAAATTTTACAAACGGTTTCAAAATGACCATTAAACTTCCCAAGCAGTTACAAAATGGTAATTGAACTTATCAATAAACATTTCAAAATTCATCACTATTTTATAATGTATAATAACCATTTTGTAACAATTCGATAAGTTTAATGATCATTTTGTAACTTCTGAAACTTCAGTGATTTGTGTACTTTCACCCAAAATATAGAACTCTAATGAGTTCATATAGACATTCAGTCACTTTTAAAAGAAGGTGATATCTAGCATATATGAAACTCGAATTCCAAGATGTGTTTTGCCCCCTTGTCCTCAGAGATTCAATAATCAAAATGCTTTGAGTTTCAACATGAAATTGTGCTACCTCGTTATCTCTTGGATGATTGATCATGTGTACTACTTTAGTTCTACATGCATTGGACATTATACATTCAGGATCAGCAAAATCAAGAAAATCTTCATCAAATCAACACTTAATGTAGAATTTTAAGGTGGTGTACATCTCACACACACTAACAAAGGAGGGTCAATCATGATTCACTTAACAATGACTGGTTTGTCACTGCTTAAGCTTTGACCAAATGAATGTTAAATTGATTCAATCAATTCTTTATGAGGTAAGCTCAAAACACACACTTCAAGGTTCACAAAAACCAGCAGAAACTCAAAATGAAATGAAAAGCAGCTTGGGAAGTAAGGTACTTTACTGAGATGAGGCTTCCTCTTTCTTCTCGGACAAATACCTGGACAACATTTGAAACCACATTAGATATACTGAAACTTGTCTTTCACTACAACTTGAAACAATAGGTACCATGCCAAAACAAAACAATAAACAAATACCATTCTCATATATTATTGAAATTATGAAAAACCATTAACCATAACACATTTAACTAAACATGGTTCTCTAAATTGATGCCAAAACCATATGCCTTTTACAAAGCAAAGATATCCTTTTCCTCTAGAGTAGCAAAATTACATAGTTACAGCAGATGCATATTATCCCAAGTATTTGATTATTTCTTGTTCATAAACTTCAGAGATCTTAAGATAATGTAAACATTTTCTTCATCTCATTGTATCAGTAATTTAAATCCTGGTTGCGAAATTATCTGAAAAGAAGATTAGTATATGATTTAGTCATGACCTGGAATAATGATCAGAATAAAATCTCCCACAAACATTTCTAAGGATGGTAATAACTTATCAAGAAGTCAACATAAAACAGAGAAGGACAACATAGTCGGGTAACACAATATGAACTAATCGCAGAGGAAAAAAATAAGCTTGATGTGAACTAGAAATGCCTTACCCCTGAGCTCTAGCCCAACGGGAAAGGTGGTAGAGCTGTACTGTCTCATTTGAAGCATGGCATGCCAGCAGCAGATAGTTTCGTGGCTGTACCATCCATGCAAACCTCATGAACAGTGCTGAATAGACACACATTGCTGCAAGCACAGAATTGGAAAAAAAATTAGAAACTTGGTACCAAGAAAATACAAAAAATTTTCAAAGTATCTTTTATTTTTGACCTGTTGTCATGTTGCCGGAAATCATTTCTGGGGGCTTATTCATGTCCACCAGTCCCTAACACAATAAACAATAATACTCAGACACAAGTCATAAAGATTTTTCTCAGATCCAGCATAATTTTGTTCAAAAGGTGAACTGAACATATCAAGAACATATAATAGTAAAATCTTAAATTGTAAGTAGTTAAGCATACTGCAAGAACAAATCCCCAATTGGCAACAGGCCCCCAAAAGTGAGTTGTTTTTGGACCAACTGGACTGTTCAGAAATGCTCGGAAGGAAGAAGCCATCTGTGACAAATGCTGCCGAAAGTAGCTCTGCAATGGTAGAAAACTTATAGTTGGTTAATATTGATAATCTTAAAGTACTACCACACACATGATTCTAGACAATGGGTTCAGTTTTCAAACTATCCTCCCAAACAACAAAAGATATGCCTGACTAACATTTTGGCCTGGCAACCGGAGTTTGTCAACCCCATGCCACCTCCAGGACAACTTATTTGCTTATTACAAGTCAAAATCTACATATCATTTAAGACTCTTTTAGGTTAAATGATGTTATACAAGTAAAAAGCTTGGCCACATGGTCTAAGCCATTAACTCGTTCAGTTGGCAGCGTAACCATGAACCAACGTATATGAATAAGACCTATTCAAAAACCCATAAATTAGTAGTTAAGCTTTCAACTCAAGTGGTTCGTGATAAAACATTTTTTTAATTGAAGGTTCATGATAAACATAGTCTCAGCTTAAAAGGTAGGCAGGGAGTGGAATGCTAGCGAATAAAAACAGACATTGGGCAATTCTACAATCTCAAGTTTACTAGCCAATAGTAATTACCAATAAAACTATGAAGAAATCACGAATAAAAATTTGAGGAGATCTTCACGCTCAAATTAAGTTCTGGTAACTCAACAAAACAACAGGCAAAAGAAGTTTAAAAATCATCCAGATTAACATGCCTCATACAATACTTCTTCTAGTTAGAGGAAAAATAGAAGAGTTTACAAACACAGAACATAAAATAGAAAGCAAACACTTGTGATTGCTAACATTAGAAGAAATATGGCGAAACTATCAGTCATTTATAGATAAAATCAAGTTAGGGCACTCGTCAGCAAATCCCTCATAAATATATTAAGTTCTTATTCAATCAGAAACCAAAGAATCATAAACACATAAAATCAGACAACAAAAAATGAATTCATATCCAATAAGCATATTTCTGACAGTATTCGGAGCTAAAAATCCCTAGCTACCAATTCAGCATATGAATACAAAAAAGACTTTCAACTGATTGCAACTTATCGGGAAAAGAGAAAAAACGAAATTTAGTAAAAATAATAAAAATCGTGAACGAAAAAGGAAATGAATCGAAAATCACGATTTCAGCTGAGATTGTTAGTGAATTACAGATCAGACGGTGACCATTAAGGTAAATATTTGAGCAGGTACGAGCAGGGATTGTTAGGTAAAGTGAGTACCTTTTGTGGAACAGAAGTTCCCGGAGAAGGGAAAAGCAAGTGGTGGTTCCGGGCGGAGATCGACGGTGGAGAGGGATGAAGATGATGGAAAATGTTAGGTAAAGTTGAGTCACTGTTTTTCAACGCTTATTTTACTCATTATATTTAGATATGGGTATGGGTCAGCTTATATTAGGGAGGTAAAAAGCTGATTTTACGCGCAAATGTGCAAAATTGATAGAAATTTGAATTAAAATTGTTTGTGATTTAAGTTATGATAAAATAGATTTGAGTATGAATTGGTTTTTGACTTAAACTCGAGTTAGATATGAAAATTATAGATCTGAATTCGATTTATATTTGATTTGAAAATGACTTGAATTTTGATTAAACTTATTTTATAATAATCAAATTTGATCTGTATTTGATTGATATGAATTCAAGTCTAAGATTAACTTAGTAAATAACTAGCATTACTAGACATGTTATGAATTTGACTTGTAACTTATTCAACCTGATTCAATTTATTATTAAACTGATTTGATATTTATTTGACTTTATATTTAACTGACTTATAATTTACAATTAATAAAATTATGAGATTTTGAATTTATATAATAAATTATGAAAATTAATATGATTACCTTTTAAAAGTTAAAACAAATTATGATAATTAATATGATTACTTATATATGTACTTATATATATTAAAAAAATCAATCTTATTATATTAGGTCTATTATAATATACACAAATATATATTACAAAAAATAGACTCATTATAAATAAATTTCTCAAACCCAAATACAAGCTCAATATATGTTTGAAATTTGAAAACTTTCATTTTATTTTTTGGGTAAAGTATATAAACGGTCACTAAACTTTTCATATTATTGCATTTGGGTCCCCTAACTTTTAAAACTTGTAATACAGTCACCAAACATTTAGTTCGTTTGCAATATGGTCTCCGACGTAAAGGTCGTTTCACTGTTGTTAGGGTAAATTATATAAATGGTCACTGAACTTTTCAAGCACTTGCATTTTGGTCCCCCAACTTTTAAAACTTGCAACATAATCATCAATTACATTCTAAAACCCAAATTCCAAAATACTTCAATTATATTCTAAACTTCAAATCCAAAAATACTTCAATTACATGCCCAACCCCAAATTCATAATCCATTCTCAAAAGTTGCCATAACAAATTGAACTTAAAACAATAATCCTAAACCCTCAAAACATAACCCTAAATGCTAAATTTCCCCACCAATTAACCCAATATAATCAACAACATTTAGGGGCTATTTGTTTACTTCAAAATAATTAAGCGCTGAATAATTCAAATGCTTAATGATTCAAATGCTGAATGATTCAGATGCTCTGTATAAATAAGCTCTGAATGTGTCATGCTATTTGATAATGACTCTGAATCATTCAGAATATGCTTCTGTGCTGAATCATTCAGCACTATTTTGTTGAATCAGTTAGCACTGAATCATTTAGAGGTGAGAAACAAATGCGCTGAATGATGAACGGTTCAGCATTCAGCGTTGAATGGTTCTATTCAGAGCTAAACAAACAGCCCCTTAGTTCATTTTGCGTCCATAACGATAAGTGATTATGTTGGGTTTAGGATTTAAAAGTTAGATTTAACCAACTATAAGTGATTCGAACAAATTATTCTTCGACTTGAATTGATTCAAAAAAATGATACAAATTGACTTTGAGTTGTAATTTCATAAACTCAACTTAAAAAAATTTCAAGTTAAAATATAATTGTAAAATACAACTCGAATATCTCAAAATTTTTAGTAATTAGTGGATTAATTTTTAAGTTTACGTTAAGTCTATTGACTATGTATGATTTATGTATATCACACATGGAAAAAATATGAAGAAATATATGTATTGTATATGGTTAAAAACTATTTAAATTAGAATCAAATAATATTATAGTATTATAAATATTTATAATTAAATTTAAACAGAAACTCGAAAATTCAATTCAACTTGATTTAAATTTTATAAACTCAAATTGAAAAAATTTCGAGTCAACTATTTTATAAACTGAATTGGATTAGAATAAAATAATATTATAATATGATAAATATTTATAATTAAATTTAAACAGAAACTCAAAAATTTAATTCGACTTGATTTAAATTTTATAAAATCAAATCGAAAAAAAACCGAGTCAACTATTTTATAAACTGAATTGAGTATTTAGGTACAACATAACCCTAAACCCAACATAATCACTTATTGCTCACTTATAGTTGGTTAAATTTTTTCAAAGCAATTATGTTTTGAGGGTTTAGGGTTGATGCTTTAAGTTCAGTTTGTTATGGTAGATTTTGAGAATAAATTATGAATTTGGGGTTGGGCATGTAATTGAAGTATTTTGGAATTTGATGTTTAGAATGTACTTGAAGCATTTTGGATTTTGGAGTTTAGAATGTAATTGATGACTTTATTGCAAGTTTTAAAAGTTGGGCGATCTAAATACAAGCACCTGAAAAGTTCAGTGACTATTTATATAATTTACCCTAACGACAGTGAAATGGTCGTTACCTCAGGAATCATATTACAAACGAACTAAATGTTGGTGACTATATTGTAAATTTTAAAAGTTAAAAACCTAAATCTAAGTATCTGAAAAGTTCAGTAACTATTTATATACTTTACCCTAATTTTTTTCTTTTTACCGCCCACAACTTTGGAAAAGAAAATTATTTTCTTTTACTTAAGAGATAATCAAGCAATTAATGTGGTGTACTTTTTGAGGAAAACATTGATTGTTTTGCCACATCATCAATCTATGTATAATATATATTATATACACATACAAAAATGTGTGTATATATATATATATATATATATATATATATATATATATATTATACTTCTTTTATTTATAATTTTATATATTTTTTAATTTAGTTCTTAAAATTATATTTATATCTAAAATTGGCATATACTTATTTATATTTTTGTAATTTACTTCAAACTTATAAATTACACAATAGCTTCATTTCAAATTTTATAAACTATATCATAATTTCCAAACTCTATAAATTTTTGTTCACTAACTTTTTAAATTGATGCAATTTAGTTTATTTTTATATTAGTTTCAACTTCATATTTTAAAATTATTTCGATTTGATCCCTCCTCGATGTGTGTTGTTTAATTTATTTAAATTTTTGTTTGTAATTTCATGTTTGTTCAATTTAGCACTTCAAATTCTATTTTTTTATCAAAATTGATTCATAATTATTTATATTTTTAAATTTATTCTAAATCATATACAATTACAAATTACAATTCGACATTCATGAAACATTGAAAAGAGAAAAATAATTAACCCAAAATGACCGGACTTGAAATCAATTTGTATCCGGTAAGATCCGACCTGAAATTTGTTTGTCAATGATGTGACCCGATCAGAATGAGATCCAACTGAAGTCCATCTGAACCTGAATTAACATGACATTTAACTTCTTCGAACCTGAACCATTTTGACCTAAATTGATATCGATCCAAACTGAAATTAACCCGATCTGAGTTGAATTTGATGTCAAATCAACCTAAAAATGACCCATACTTGACCTAATTCGTGTCGAACCATTAAATTGACCTGACTCAACCTGTATTCGATTTGACCCGAATTGACAGGATTCGACTGAAATCTGAACGATTACCTGATTTCACATCTCTATCTACTATTCATACTCGATTTAGGTTTAAAAAAAATATATTTGATTTGAAACTTGATATGATTTTTAAAATAAAAATTATATTTGATCTAATACAAATATATATTAGGTAAAGAAAGATTTAATTAAAATAAATATATGTAGAAGACTATTATTTTAGGTTTGGATCGAGTATTTTCATCTTACGTCTAAACTTGATCTTATCATAAAAAAAATCAGACTTGTCCCAATATAGATCTAATTTTTTTAAAAAATGAACTTATAAAATTAAATCAAATCAAATCAAAACAAAATTCTTCAAATTTAAATTAAATATTCATATCTAATTATATTTCTAGATCAAAATAAACATACATGGATTTTTGTTCCCTTAATATAATTTTTTTTTATTTTAATTATTACATTCATCCAAACAGATTCGTTCAATATATTTATGTATGTTTATTTATTTATCTCTTATTCGTACTTTGTCATTGTCTATAGAAATCATATAAAATAATATTTAAGGAAAATATTGAATCACTGAACACCAAATAATTTAGGTATAATATCGAAAATAGCTCTCAACGTTTATCAAAATAATTATTTTTACCCTCTATTCTATTTGTTTTGGAGCATTTTGGCCAGTAATATTTCATTTTAAGGTAAAAAGATCCCTAACTTTTGACAGAATAATCATTTTGTCTCTTATTCTTTTTTTTTTCTTATGAGGCATTTTAGTCACCAAATTTCATTTTAGGTTAAAAAGACTCTTATTTTGGAGCACTAATCATGTTTTAACTAGTAGTTTTCATTAATAGAGTGAGTTTTTTGCCCCAAAGTGAAACGTGGGCTCAAAATGCTCCAAAAAATAACAGGGCTAAAATGACAATTTTAGTAAATATCAAGGGCTATTTTTGACATTTTCCCAACAATTTAACTAAATATAAGTTGCATTACAAAATTATTTGTAACACAAAATACAATTTATATTGGTCGATAATTTAAACAAATATGTGGCCCATGAAATCATTATGAGCAAATAATTCAAATTAGGGTTATTATATTGTCTAAAGCTTTAAGAAGAGAGGGTTTATTTTAACTATCAAAGTAGATTTAATCTCAAGTAGAGACATATATATTTAAATATTATTCGTAGCAGATTTGGAGTGGCGACATATATGAACTTCCATATATTTACTAGTCGAATATGTTTTATTTTTTGAGAATAATAGACTCATATTCAAATATCCATTATTCAAGTTCTATTTACTTTCGCTAATAATATAATTATATATATGAATCAACTAAGTTAGATATTAAAATTAAAAATAACAAAATTGTCACAAGGACTATAATTGCAATTTAATCATTTTAATCAAGAGTCAACACTCATGACCCTACCATAGATTCGTCCCCGATTATCCGACAACTAATTTAATTCATAGAGTAAAAAAGTCTATAATAATATGCCGGTTTAATTGAAGCACAGCCCCGGCAGTTGATCGGTATTAATAGCAAACAAAATCGTATCATTTCAAAAATCCAGAAGGAATATGTGTTCGTTCTCGATTGCATCAGCTGGGAATTCTCAGCGCACTTCGATCTTTGCCGTGGCCTTTACTCTGCTTGTTCATGGCGGAAGTTCGTTCATCTGCTTAATCACTGTTTCAATTGTTTTCTCTCTTCTTCCTGTTTTTCCTATATATTCAATGGGCTGAAACGTCCGCATTTGCAGTAACTGGCGAATCTTTTGTTAATGTCCAGAGACCCGATTTTCAGGCTGATTTTGTTTTCGGAGTCGCCACTTCTGCTGCTCAGGTGAGCTAAAATTTTCATTTTCCATCTCGATTGCGGTACATTTTGACGATCCGACTTGTTAAAACCTCTATACAATGCAGATTGAAGGATCTTCGAAATCTGAAGGGAAAGGGCCGGGTGTTTGGGATCAGTTTGAACGGAGGTTTTCATGTTTGTTTGTTTTTTAAAGATGGTACTTTGTATTATAATGAATTACAAAGTAAACCACTCCAAAAACCTCATTAAAAAACCTCCCTAAACCTAAATGGAGGAAAAAGAGTGTACCTTGAGGTGGTGGGAACTACAAACACATAAAGACTATCATCACACAATCCATACCCCATACAACAACCCCACAGCAGTTCGAAACTGAGCCAAACCATACAACCCAAAAAATAGTAGATATCTAATAAAGGAATAATCACAAACAAGCATAACCACTGGAAACGAAACCACCAACTCGATGACCAAGGATATCTGAGCTGAGCAAAGCAGTGATTCGGGCAATGTGTTCAGGAGCATCGTGGTAGAACATCGACAGCACGTCATTCACAAACTGAGGATTTGCTTCATTTTGCAGCGATGTCAAGTGCTCGTAGTTATGGTCCAGTATGCCAAGATTCAGACCACACCTCCGCCCTTCCACAAGCCCCAAATCGATTCAAAATCACTAACACATCCAAGCCGACAATACACAAACAGCAAACCGTATGGTAAGAAACTAAAAGCACTACTAAATAACCAGTACAAACCCCACTTACTCCACTAAGGACAAATCATTATAAATGACTTTGCTTTTTACAAAAGGTGAGAGCACCAGCAACAGCCTCCCACGCTAGCACCATACCCAAACAAAAGCCACCCATGCTCCCCACATCCTGCTACACTCTAACGCTCATACCAAGATGACCTTGCTGACCCTAATCCAATAAAAAGCCTTGGAGCTCGAAAAAGACACTAGCAGTCACCCGACAACCTCCTTGTAACCCACAAAAAGAACAACACGCGGGAACCTGCATGTCAGAGCACCATCTCCGACAACCTCCTATTCCCAAGACAAGCAAACCCGAGAGCTCAATCACCCAATCTATGAAAACCCTGCCTGTCAAAGCTGAGAAAACGACGCCCACTGCCTCACCCACACACTGAGGCTCGAACTACAACGGAGCTAATCAATCTAATAAAAAAAACCAGAAGGCTTCGAAGCTAGCAGAACCAGCTGACCCAATACAACTCTTGCAAAACGCAAAACAATGAAATCACAACACATCTAAACCATGGAAACAACAACACGAACTCTGCCTCCCCATTTCAATACCCAACTACAAGAGCAGGAAGCACACATCACACAGCTCCCCAAACAACGCAGGATCGCACATAATTCAGATCGCAGAGACGACAAGTCAATAAACAAACGCGGGCTCGGACAATGGACAGCATTAAAAGCAATACCAACGAGCAAATGACTAGCCAAACCCAACCAAATAAGCAGACGCTAAAACCTTGAAAACACCACTAACAGAAACAACATCATTAACGAAACCAAACCAATAACCTACTCGACTCCTCTACTTTGGAAAGTAAACACACAGAATCTCACCTTAGCAACCCACAATCTTCCATAACCCTCAAACTGTATTTTCAATCAAGCAAAAGACTGGTTCACTAAGGCTTTAACACAAACATCTTGCGTGCAGAATCAACTATCACAATCTGACTCCAAAAACTGAGTAGAAACCACACAGAATCTCACAAACTTTGAAACTAATATCAAGAGTGAACCAAAACTCAAGCACAAAACAGCAAACGATTAAAAGCAGGAAAAGAAAACGCAGCTGGTAGAGAGAGAAACGATCTCACCAAGCTAGAAGATAAACCCAATCAATCCTAAATCCGAAAACATCAAAGCGGGGCCGACCAATCACTTGTACAAAGAACATGAAAAAGAATTCTACGACACTGTATTGAACTTTTGAGATCTTGGGAGAAGCCAAAGGATAGAGAAAAGCAACATGGATGGTGGTGGAGGCGGCTACCACCTCGCGACCTCGCCGGAAAAAAAAACTTAGCGCCTCTCTCTTGACAATTGATTAGTTTAGCAACGAGGATTTTGCTTGCGATAGTTGTTATGAGTCCCGACGGAGGTTTTCATGTTAGAATTTAATCGTAGTAATTTCAAGTGAAGGAATTAATTAAGAATTTTATTAAATTATTTGTTAATTAATTTATTTTCTTGCAGGGAAAATAGCAGACAACAGTTCCTTGGATGTGTCAATTGATTCGTATAAACGTTATAAGGTAACATCAAATATGTACATGTATAATTGCATATATTTGAAGTATTCTCATATAATTTTTTAAATATATTGTTGATTATAATGCTTTTTTATTCATTATTTTCTTCTTTTAAGATTTTAATATTTTAAAGTAAGTGTATGTATTTCTATCTTTCTTATTAATTGTTTTGTGATCATTTATTTGTTATTATCGATAATATATATATTTGTAGGAAGATGCATTGATTTTAAAGGATCAGGGTGTAGGTGCGTTTAGATTTTCCATCCCTTGGACCAGGATTTTACCAAGTAATCTATAACTCGAATAAATTGTATTTTATAAAAATTTATTTATTTATTTATTTATTTTTGTAGACCGAACTTTAAGTGATGGAATAAATGAAGAGGGTATCAATCATTAAAAAACTCTGTGGATGGGTCAATAGAAATCGGTGATTTAAATTTTTTACATTTAGGTTCAAACATTTGTTAATTTATTCATGTCATCGGATTAATTTTATATTATGTTTGATCACCTCAAGGTGTTAAACCCTTTGTGACATTACTGCACTTTGACCAACCGGAAGCCCTTGAAGACAAGTACGGAGGTTTCCTAAACAGTAGTATTGTGTAAGTTTCATCCTAACATCTGCGTCGGAAACATATCTATGTGTGAAACTTATCATGATCTCAGATCGGTTTTCATTGATACATCTTTCTATTTTTAGGGAAGATTTTAAGAACTACGCTGAAATCTGCTCTAGAACAATCGGAGATCGAGTTAAACATTGGATTACAATCAATGAACCACTGATTATTGCTAAATTAAGGTATGGCGCCGGAAGCACTTCACCGGGGAGATGTTGTGATAGAAAACAATGTCCCTATGGTAATTCAGCCACCGAGCCTTACATTGCTACCCATAACCTTCTTCTTGCCCACGCAACGGCGGTAGGCTTTACAAGGAGAAATATGTGGTAATAATAGGCCAGAGAATTTACACGGATGGAATATTCAGGATCATATATTTGTTAATGATATTTATCGCAACATATTTAATTATGAGATCGGATTGAATTCTGGTTTTACATATATATATATATATATATGATACCATCACTATCCAGTATTGATCATGTTTGAATTTGGCTCAACAGGCAGAGCAAGGAGGTGTGATTGGAATGAGCCATGTTGCAGAGTATTACGAGCCATATTCAAACACATTGGCCGACAGAATGGCAGCAAAAAGAGCCATGGAATTCGACTTGGGATGTTCAGTAAAACCCCACTTATTCCCCATTGAATCTTTTTGGTAAAACTAGGGGGGAAATGGATTTTTGTGGGGAAAAAATTAAGGATTTGGAGATGATATTGGATTAATTAGGGAAATATAGATGTTTTTACATTGATAGATAAAGTTTCCGATAGATGAGGACGATTTTAGTAAAATTATTGACCGATGAGGACAACTTTAGCAAAGTCATCGATAGTTGTCAACGATTTTATTTCAATTTTCTTCTTCTTAATACTAAATTGAAAAGAAATAAAAGTAGAGAACTAAAATAGAAAATTTCCATAAATTAACATTAAATGAATTTTTTGGCCATCGTTCTTAAATTTATGAATTCATTTTATCATAATATTTTTTATAATTTTTTCTTTTAGTTTCTGTATTTAATTTTTTTAATTTGGTTTTGAAAATATTGAAGCAATGTCATAAGTTACTGTTGACAATCTTATTGAAATTAGTTTCAACTATTATTATTTCTATATACATAATTCAAATATCTTTAGATCCTTGAATATTTCGTATACATTCTTACATCTTTAGTGTTTTCCCTATATCTTCCTAGGTTTATGGAACCACTGGTAGGAGGACAATGCCCATCGACCATGAAAACAATGGTAAAAGATAGGTTACCTGTTTTCACCGAAAAATAAAAGAAATTGATCAAAAGATCTTTCGATTTCATCGGCTTGAATTGCTATACCTCAAGATACTCCAAGAACATTCCGACTTAAGGTCCACCTCTCAGTTTATTAACTGATCCACGTGTAAATATCAAAGGTAAGTTTTAAATTGAATCAACTGAATATCCAAATCCAAATTATATAATATATAAGGATACACTATTGTAGACACCTAATTTTCATCCTTTTTTTATGAGTACCACAAATTATATTATATAATTTTAATTATATTATATAGCATAATTTTATTTACATTCATATGTTTATTTTACACTTGCAGGTCCATTATACAAACATTTGCATATGGCCCAGCCAAGACCCAAACAGTGGGTGACCCAGCAATTCACGTGACCCGTTTGGCACCCGAACCGGATCCAGTGGGGGGTCCAAACCCGAACCGGTCCAGCTAGGGTTTGAAACCCTAGCATTCTTTTCCCATTTCAGCGCCGTTTTGAAGACCCTTCGGCCAGCTACGCCTCTCCAACCCCGAATCATCCGCCGGCCGTTTCGCTCACCACCAACAAACATGCATGAGTGGAACACAAACAAAACAAGAGTTTTATTAGGATATAAACTCCTAAAAATAGCATCATTCTGGATATAAATAAGCTTGTAAATAACATTCGAGGGGGGGAGAAATCCACAGCCATTGTAACTCAATCATCAAAATCAATAAAAGATTTTCTTTTAGTTAAAAGCTTCCCTTTTGTTTCATGCTTTTTACATACATCTTGGTAGCTCGAATAAAATTTGATGAAAGCAGTAACCACCGACGAAACATGCAAAACAGAATGAGAAGGTAGAGGACAAACCAAAAAACGACATACCTGAAAATTTTGACGATCCAAAGGTGGAAGGAGACAGATCGGAGCAAGAGAAGTCCAGCGGTTTTTGACTTTTCGTTGGAAACGAAATCTTTTTTTTTTTTGAAGGATAAATCCTGGATTTGGACCCAAATGACCGATACGAGTCACCCGTTGGATTTGGTGTCCATCGGCGACCAATCACGATGGTAGCTGGTCGACCGACGGTCGTGACTGACAACAATGGAGAGCTGAACGTATAAGAAAGGGAACAGGGAAAGCTTCTGAATTGCAAATGAATTAAAAAAATTTGTTATTATTGCTTTTGCAGGAAACCAACTCATCCCACGTGAAAGGAAAGGGAACAGGGAAAGCTTCTGAATTGCAAATGAATTAAAAAAATTTGTTATTATTGCTTTTGCAGGAAACCAACTCATCCCACGTGAAAGTAAACTTTGGGGTAAACTCTCCCATTGGTCCTTCAAGTATTATGGGTAAAATCTTATCAAAGCCCTCTGAACTTTGTAAATTTCCATCATGGTCACTGATGCAATTTTATTTTTTCTTATTCCGATCTCTTAATTCCGTAATAGTTTCGTTTTAGTCACTATTTTTGTGTGTTGGGTATTTTGGGTTGATTTTCGAATTTTACCTTATGATTTATCCCTTTTTCTTTTTAGTCACTATTTTACATTTAGTTTAATTATCATTTAGTCCTCCATATTTCTTGATTAATTTAATTATTTATTAATTTGTTTTTGTTTATATATATATATATATATATATATATATATTTTACTAAATTTCATTTATTTTTTTTTATCTATTTTCTTATTTTTTTTCTTTTTTACATATTTACTTTTATTTTATCTAACATATTTTTTAGTAGTAATTCCAACCCATTGGAGGTAAATAATTCAAATCGGGTAGTTTAAATTTAAATTTAATTTTTTTTTTTAACTTTTCACAACTAAGACAACCGATAAATTAATTGGTACCGAAAGGGCAGTTCAAGGGTGCTAATCCTTCCTTGACTGTAACCGACTCCCGAACCCGACACATTTCTGCTACAACGCAGATCAGTTAAGATGATGTCCGACCCACCTAAATTCGTTTTAAAATGGTCGGTGGCGACTCTAACCACATTTAATCTAAGTCGAAGCCCAATTCCGGGCCCAACGGAAAGACGGTTCCGACAGCTTGGCGACTCCGCTGGGGACCCAGGTAAGTGAGTCAGGCCGAAATTAATTTTTGGTTTTTTTTATGTGAAAATGTTAAATTTTAATTTTAATTTATTTATTCGATTCCAGTTATTTATCTTTGATTATTTTGTTTCAAATAAATAGTTGTACTGATGTTTTTTAATGATTTCAGATTTTTTTTCAAAATTGTCATCTCTAAGCTCTAAACCCGAGCTCCAAACCCGTTTTAAGTGGGGGTGAAAGCGACGCATTCGTGTGAATTTATTCACCGCATATGCCTAGCAAGTAGCCTTCGGGATTCATATACCTTATGTCTTCGTGTGAATTTATTCACCGTGCGGGCATAAGGGAATGTTTCCTCTCGAGTTTAACTTAGTCTACACAAGCCTGTGATGGGTTTAGGACTAAGGGTCTGGTAAGCCCAAGGGGGCACCAGCAAGGAGAACTCGGGTACCGTGTTTTAGAACCTAAACTGGGAGACTTTGAAGGAGTTAGAGCCTACCCCAAAACCTCATTTCAAACCCTAGGATGCTGGAATTATTTCATGCTTTACTTTCTGTTCAAAGCATGTGAACTAGAAATTTATGCGGTTAGGACTTGTTCAAAATCAACATGCGGGATAGAGATCATGTCCGGGTAGGAATAATAAGCATGTGGGGTAGATATCATGTGGGGTAGGACTTTTCATTTTCATTTTCATTTTTTTTATTATCCTTATCTCACTAACTTTTTTTTCCTCCTTTCATTTTCTGTTCTTTTGCATTTTTTTGATCATTCGCATCATTAAAACGAGGTGTTGATCCACCAAAAATGTGTTTGTTAAACGTAAATAGTCTACATTAATGGACAAAGGGGTTATAATACAACGAGATAAAAAGCTCAGAAGTCCAACCGGGATTAAAGAATACTTAGAGGCGAAGGTTGCAGGGGCAAGACGAGGAAATGGTTATTGACCCGGAGAATCCTTTCGAAAATTACGAGAATAAGATGGTGAAACCCTAGCCAAGCTAGAGACCATTATTGATGAATTCCAAAAACAAGTCGACAAACTTCGGATAGAAGGCTCCAAAGACACTTTCGTTTGGAACGAGCTCGGCATAGAGCGAAGGCCGGAGATGCAGTCATTCGAGACCTTTTTTGGGGCAAGCAACTCGTTACCCGCACAAGTTTAGCCAAAGGAACTGGAATGGTTCGACAAGATATTCAACCGGTGAAAAAGCGGAAGACGAATCAACTTTCCAGAGGCTGTGCAGGATCTATACCATCAAAAAAGTTTTTTGTCTCTTCAAACGTAACATTTTTGTCCCCAATAAGGATTATTCAGAATAATAGGCACATTTTTCGGATCAATGCCTCGAACATTTCATGCATCATACATTCAGACATATTGTGCATTTTGTTATTATTTCTTTACATTCACATTAACTATCTTCACATGTTTCATCA